AAATAAATTTTTTTAATGATATATGCATATTAGCCTTAAAAAACAAATATAAATATCTCTATAAAAATAGGAAAAAATTATAATAATCGTTGCTAACCTTCCATTGTAGTTTTAATTATTGCTGTTACTGTTACTACTACTATTGTCACTACTACTGCATTATATGTAACACAAAAAAATTTAGTTTATTTTAATAGTAGTATTAATTATCCAACATTTTTTTTAGATTTTCTTATTTGAATTAATCAATTAATTTACACAAAGAAAATAAAAGTTTTGTTATCATATTAATTCAATTGAAGAAGAATTTAAATCTAAAAATCAACCTATAAATGACAAAATGATCAATTAGACTTGATTTGTTTCTGTTTAGAAAAAATGAGGAGATAAGCTAGCTGAATATAATTTTTTGTTGAAATATGAGAAGAAGTAAGACAGACTAATTGAAAAACTTAAGTTTTGATTTGTGGTTAATGCTAAAAGCCTTTAAGTACATGGGTATTTATAAACACTACTACTATTACTAATACTACTGCTACTACTACTTTTGCTACTACTGTTAAAACAGGCACTATTGGTACAACCGCCATTGTTACTATTGATACTACTATTATTATTTCTACTACTGCTACTATGCTAATACCACAGTTACTACTACTGCTGCTAATACTGCTATTGCTGCTACTGTTACTACTACTGTTACTACTACTGTCACTATTACTGCATTATATGTAACACCTTAAAAAATTTAGTTTATTTTAATAGTATTATTAATTATCTAAAATTTTTTTAAAATTACTTTACTTGAATTAATTAATTAATTTAAATGAGAAAAAAAAAGCTTCCTTGTTATATTAATTCAATTGAAGAAAAATTTGAATGTACAAATCAACCTACAAATGACAAAATCATCAATTAGGGTAGATTTATTTTTGCTAGAAAAAATGAAGAGATACACTAGTTGAATATAATAATTTGTTCAGATATGAGAGGAAGAGTAAGAGAGACTAATTGAGAAACTCAAGCTTTAATTTGTTGTTGATGCTAAAAGTTTTCAAGTACGTGGGTATTTATAAGTATTAGTTTATTTTAATAGTATTATAAATTACGCAGCGTTTTTTTTAGATTTTCTTACTTAAATTAATTAATTAATTTACATAAAGAAAAAAAAGTTTTGTTGTCATATTAATTCAATTGAAGAAGAATTTAAATTTATAAATCAACCTACAAATGGCAAAAATCATCAATTATGCTTTATTTATTTTTGTTAGAAAAAATAAAGAGATAAGCTAGCTGAATATAATAATTGAATTATGAGAGGAAGAAATAGGAGAGACTAATTTAGAAACTCAAGCTTTAATTTATGGTTGATACTAAAACTTTTCAAGTACATGGGTATTTATAGGTACTCGTTTATTTTAAATATATTATCAATTATCCAACATTTCTTTTTAGATTTCCTTACTTGAATTAATCAATTAATTTACATAAAGAAAACAAAAGTTTTGTTATCATATTAATTCAATTGAAGAAGAATTTGAATGTAAAAATCAACCTACAAATGGTAAAATGACCAATCAGGCTTGATTTGTTTTTGTCAGAAGAAATAAAGAGATAAGCTAGCTAAATATAATTTTTTGTTAAAATATGAGAAGAAGAAGTAAGACAGACTAATTGAGAAACTTAAGTTTCGATTTGTGGTTAATGTTAAAAGCCTTCAAGTACATGGGTATTTATAGGTACTACTACTACTAGAAATGCTACTACCATTACTAATACTACTGCTACTACTACTGCTGCTAGTACTGCTAGAACAGGCATTATTGCTACAGTCGTCACTATTGCTATTGATACTACTGTTACTATTTCTACTACTGTTACTATCACAGTTACTACTACTACTAATACTGCTATTATAACGACCCTAGAAATCTAAAAGGAAATATATAATAATTTAAGTGCAGAAGCAAAATAAAAAGTTAAGGTTTACATCCCTTACACAATAACTTAAAATTACTAAACAAACATCACGGAATGAATTCTTTGAAAAAAACACGATAAATGAGAAAAGTAAAGGAAAATATAAAGTATCTAGCATCTACTCGCATTCTTCTTGCAGATAGGGCTCGGGAATCAGGTCCTCTTGATCTGAAATAGTTAAATAAGGAATGAGCTACACTAGCTCATTAAGGACATCACACTATATCACTGTCACAGAAGCAAAGGTTGGTAGAAAATCAAAACAACTAATAAAGCAGTAGATTTAAACCAGTACATTTATTTAAAATAGAGCCACTTACCCTTTTACTTACCATTGGGGAATTTATGAAAATAATCTATAAAAATAATAATATCATACAGATCATAACTTCATGCATGACTAGCAACATAGAATATATCATAAATTCACATTTATTAACAATAGATGAACTCGTAACCATTTCTCGTTTCACCA